ATTTTCCTTCCTTTGGTCTTTACAGAAATCCCAAACAGACAAAGAAAAAGTTTTAGAAGCTATCCGTCAAGACTAACGCGTACAAAACAAGAACAAGCAAGCCACCTTATATTAAATGCTAATAAATATATCAGTACCAATTCATTGCTTAGAAAACTTTGAGTGCTGAATGTTTACCAATTAAATATTTATAATATGCTTTTAATCGTGTTAAGATTAAAAGAATATTATTAAAATATCATATGCCTAATATTTTTGAAGATCTTTTCTTTATTGTAGATCATCAATATCAAACATTGCATTCGTTGCTTAATTATCAGGTACTAAAAGCTTTGTTAAAAAATTCCTTATTCTCAATAATTTACTATGGGCCACATTTGTGGAACTTATTTCTCCCAAATATTAGTAAAACTAGAACTTCAATTCAAAATTTTAAAAGTAACTTAAAAAAGCAGTTACTTGATTATGGCGTAACTTTAAATACTATTTTATTTTTAATTTTTATTTTGTACTTTTTTATTTTTTAACTTTTTCTTCTGTTAAAAATCACCCTTTACTTTACATTACTTATCTATAATTTTTTTTTTTTTTTTATTATTACATCATTGCGCTGAAATTGTAATTTTTTTTTATATGATAGATTATATTTTGTTTAATATGTAAATGATATAACGAAGCTGGATGAAAAGACTTTTGTCATCTGCCTGCTCCCGTCACATCTTAACTCAAAAAAATATTGTAAATAATTTATTATGAAGATGACGTAATATATATCCAAAAAAAAAACCCTGAAAATTTAGCGAACCTTTTCCCAGAAGACTTAGGTAAAAACAACTTTTCTGATGAAGTTCGGCATTTTTTTTCCTTAAGAAAAAATATTCTAGCCAGAGAAAAGCCTGTCAAATTATGCAAAAAGGCTGCATTCGATGTTTCCACTAGTCCCACTAGTATTTGATTTTGATTTTTTATAACATTGCCTGTTTCAAAATCTGAAGAACGATCTTTCAACAAGTTAGTTATCACCACAGATTATCTTTGTTCCACAATGGGCCAGGAGCAGTTGTGCTACTTTATGATCTTTCTCATAAAGAAGCTATTTCAAATTTTGCCATGAAGAAGCCCCGGAAGATGTGTTCGTCTATTAAGACTTGATTTTACCAAAATTAATTAAATGTGATTTAAGGTTTTCTATGATAGTAATCAAAAAATAACTAAACTATTTTATTTGCTATTTATCATTTTAAGATCTGAAGTGTAATATCCATTGAACTTTTGGACCAGAGCATCACAAAAGCTCTCGGCGGCCTGATAATAAGGATCTAAGGGTTAATGTGAGCCTAATTAACATGCATCAGTTTTAAAGAAGAAAGGTTTTATTTAGAAGTTGTTTTTTTTCTGTATGTTTTTGGTAATTAAAACAAGCTCTCTAAATTTTAATTATCAGCTTACAAATTCTTAAGTATATAATTCAAATTGGCGCATACATTCAAAGATAGATTTTTATTGAAAACCTTACACTTCAGAAAAAGGTTATTACAAACGTCTAACACATGGTATTTGTTTGAAAGAAAAATTACAAATAATTAGGTTCAACTAGTTTTATGACAGAATAATGCATAATTTTTTTGAAATAAGTAACATATTTAGGTGGGGTAATAGGGGACTATTTGTCAATGTGTTTTGTGCCGTTAAGAATCTAATGGTTATACAACAAAAAATACCTTTATATTGAAAATTAGTATAAACTAGAATTCTGACTATGTTTCTGGAGTCATGTTGCTACGGATTTCTATAGATGATGATGATCGAAGATATAATGATATCATGTTTTTAATTAAAACTAGTAAATAGCGCAGCGTGGCAGTTTTGAAGGGTTGCATATTAAATTTTTAACTTATAAACATGCCATTTTTGTAGGATAATGAATCTCTAATGCATATTTGTAGGATAATGAATCTCTAATATATAACACATAAAAATAACTCAAAAAATTCTGAATAATTTTCATTTAAGTTTTCCCTTTAAATTCTTTCTTAAACATAATTTCATCATGTTTTGACTTTTATAAGTGCTTTGACTTTTGAATTTGAATATCATATATTCAATTTGGAGAATTATATTAATAATATAATTCTAAAATAAATATCAATAATAATGTTATTTTCCAAATTAAATATTTGATATTCAAATTCAAAAGTCAAAGCACTTATGTAAAATATGAGTAATAGTAAAGTTTTAGTAAAATATGACTGAGTTGTATTGTAACAAAAACAAGTTCACTTTAGGTGTTTTCATAGATCTTAGTAAGGCATTCAACACTGTTGATCATAGTATTTTAATTAAAAAATTAGAAAACTATGGAACCAAAAATATAAACATAGCTTGGTTCAAAATCTACTTATCTAATAAAAAAATATATATTTCATTTGGCAATGAAAAAACTAACAATATGGCTATTACTTGCGGCGTTCCTCAAGGATCTATATAAAGACCACTTTTATTTTTAATCTATATTAATAATTTAAGCAAAGCTTCTAATATTCTAGATTCTATATGTTTTGCTGATGATAAAAATTTATTTTATTCTCATAGTGATATAACAACATTATTTAAAACGTTCAACATTGAACTTCAAAAGCTAACTGAATGGTTAAATATGAATAAACTTTCAATTAATTTAACTAAAACCAAATATACTATCTTTCATCGCCTCCATAAAAAAGATAAAATCCTTATTGCACTTTCAAAACTTATTATTGGAGAATACATCGTAAAAAGAGAATGTTCAATGAAATTTCTAGGTGTAAATCTAGATGAAAACATTAATTGGAAAGACCACATAAACATGATTGGAAATAAAATTTCTGAAAATATCGGATTACTCTATAAAGCAAAACCATACTTAGATCAATCATGTTTGAAATACATATATTACTCATTTATTCATTCCTATCTTAATTATGCAAACATTGATTAGTGCAGCACATATAAAACAAAGACAAAAAGCTATTTAGCAAACAAAAACATGCAATTAGATTATTATCAAATGCACACTGCCTCTCACATTCTAATTTTTGATATTTCTAGATTGTTGAATCATTGTTCAACAATCTAGAAATATTAAATTTGTACCAATTAAATATTTATCATCTGCTAATTTTTATGTATAAAACTAATAATAATACAATACCAAATATCTTCAAACCATTATTTAATAAAATTCAACACAAATACATGATTAAATATTCAAATAACAACTTTGTTCAACCCAAAACTATAAATGAGTCCACTAAGTTCTCAATAACTATTATAGGACCTAATGTATGGAATAAGTTAATTAGTAATGATATTAAAACACTTACAACTCTTGAACTCAGTTTAAACAAAAAACTCTTGAACTCAGTTTAAACAAAAGCTAATACTATTGCTTTTAACAATCAAACAGAGAATTATTCTTAAATCTATCTTTAAAAATATTATATTTGAAATAATCTATTAATGCATGTTTTCATTTTTTCATTTTTTCTTTTTTGTTGTTGTTGTTGTTGTTGTTGTTGTTGTTGTTGTTGTTGTTGCTGTTGCTGTTGATTTTTGTTTTCTTGAGTGAATTATTAAATTTTCTTTCAATGAATAACTTTGAAATTTGAATAAAAATAGAATTGCATTACCGTAGTTAACCTTCATGTTGTTGAGAACTTTTTTAATAATTAAAAATATTTTTTAAACATTAAAAATAACTTCGAAAGACTCCATTAAACTATTTTGCATTTTGTATAAACTTCTTTGAAACATTTTGCTTTTTTCTCTCATTTTTAATTTTTAATTTTAGTTACAACGTATTTATATAAATACCTTGAAAAAACAAGGGACTTGGTAATAAGGCAAACCGGTCTTCTTCTCGTCCTTACCATTTTTATATATATTATAAAACACGGAATTTGTAAATACTTGTACGGCTAAATAAATGAAGGAAAAAAAAAAAACAAAAAAAAAACATAAATTATTAGATCAAAAGTTTAAACATAATTTTATTTTAAACATAATTTTATTTTAAACATAATTTTATTTTAAACATAATTTTATTTTAAACACAATTTTAATTTAAACATAATTTTAATGTTTTTGACGCGTGTTTAAAGCGAAAATTTATAAAATTTGTACAGCTAAAATAAATGAAAAAAAAAAAGGAAATTTTTTCTCTGTTATCTAATTTCCAAGTAATGCGCGGTATTTATGCGGATCCATTTCCATTTTTTTTTTTTTTTTTACGAATTTTCTTAACATATAGAATTTATCATAAAATTGTTATGATTAATTCTATAAGTAATGCAGGGCACTTACGTGATTATATTATTATATTACGTGGATCTATTTCTATAGGGTTTTTTTTTACGAATTTTCTTAACATTTAGAAATAATCATAATACTATTATGATTAATTCTATATGTGATGCTTGTTAGGCAATCCAATAAGTTCCTTATACTACTTATAGAGAGATTTATGTATATCTACAATATTATATATATATATCGTGTATAATATATCCGATATGCATAGTATGTATGCTATAAAGCTATTGTGATTAGAGATCGCCGGTTACAGTATACGGTATACTAACTTTACGGTATACTTTACCGTATAGTTGGTATACTAAAAATTACTATACCAATTAGTATACCTGTTATTTATGAAATATTTTTTAAATGATTTTATAATTCAATAATGATATTATCTTAATTGATTAAATAATTGTATTATATGTATTACGTGATTACTTTTTTAGATAAATAATACAATAATTATTAATAATAAATATAGTATTATTTATAGTAGTATTAAAAGAATTATCATTTATTAAAGTGTTGTTTTTTTGTAATTTAACTTTTGAAAGGTTTTTGAATTTATTTATTTAGACTTTAATTGTTTTTTGTTCTTTTTTATTTGTTTATTGTATGTATAAAAGTAACATGTTTACTCTTACCTTGAAGTAAAATATTTAATGTCAGAACAAATTTACCAACATATCTCTTTTTTTGGAAAAGGTTCAACAAGAAAAATTTATTGCAAATATTGTGATAAACAAATTACAGCAAAATCAACATTAAGATGGGAGCAGCATTTGAGAGGATGTAGAAAAACGTCTGATGAGGTTAAGTTGTACTTTAAAAAAATAAAAAAAGAAGTTCAGAGTGTTATAGTTGAAACAAAAGGATATGATAATATGGCTTCACAAACCTCTAAAAGTTTAGTTTTCAAAGAATCTGGGCAGCCTGCTAAAAGAACTATGCTAAATTCATACTTTGACACTATAAGCAAAGATGACATTGATAAGATAGATAAATCGTATGCAAGGACATTTTTCCATACAGGAGTACCTTTTGCATTAGCTGATTCTTCTGCATGGAAGCAACATCATGCTAATCTTAGACCTGCATATAAACCTCCATCTAGTAAATGTATAAGTGGGCGTCTTTATAAAGATGCATTAAATGATGAAAAACATGCAATAAAAAAATATGTTGATAGTTCTGAATATGTTAGTATAGTGACTGATGGATTTTCAAACATTAATGTGAATCATCTTGTTAGTTATTCAATTCATGTTGAAAATAGGACTATGAAACCTATTGCTTACAAAATTGAGCCTACTGGTCAAGAACAGCAAACTGGCATTAATATTGCAAAACGCATAGAAAATGTAATTCTTGAAATAGGTGTTGATAAAGTTACAAGCATTGTTACTGATAGCGCATCAAACATGAGAGCTGCATGGGATATTATTGAAAAAAAATATCCAAAAATATTTTGTAATGGTTGTGCTGCCCATACAATAAATCTTTTAGTAAAAGATATTTGCCTTCTTCCTGAGTTTGTGGATATTTTACAAAAGTCTGGAAAACTGACAGCCTTTGTTAAACAAAGAACATCACTTATCGATCAATTTCGTATAATTCAAAACCGTGTTAAACAAGAAAATAATTTGAAGAAAATGCGAGCATTATCACATGTAGTTTTAACACGGTGGTATAGCCATCATACATCTGTTGCCCGTAATCTTGAAAAAAAACTAGTTCATTTGAATTTAATTAACTCTGGTGCCTTCTCACGTGTATCTATATCAAAAAAAAAATCAGATTATGTAAACATTGTACAAGACAATTTTTTTTGGGAAGAATGTCAACGTTTTATTAATGTTATGAAACCATTATCAAAATTAGTAGGTAAACTGGAGTCCGATAGTTGTCTACTTTCTGAAGTTTATATAATGTTTGTTAACTAATGGAAATATGGAAGGAAGACGCAGTATTGAAAACTCTTGTTTTAAGCAGATGGGAATTTATTCACACGCCATCTATGGGATTTGCATACTTTCTTGATCCACGAAATCATGGTGGCAGAAATATGTATACTGAGTCTCCTCCATCTAGCAAAAGTGATCTTGTTATAGTACTTGAGTTGCTTCCAAAGTACATAGTTGAAACAAGAGGACTTTGCAATTATGAAATTTCAAAAAAAGAAATAAAATCATTTCAGAGGCTATGTGCAAATCCGACTCCAGATTTTGCAACTCAGATTAAATTAATGGATCCTGATATCTGGTGGGGAGTTGAGGGTGCAAGTAAATTTCCAAATTTAGCAAAGGTTGCACAAATAGTCTTTACTATTCCAACTTCTCAAGCTGCAAGTGAGCGAATATGGAGTTTGTATGATTTTATTCATTCAAAGCGAAGAAACCGACTTGCAAAAGATAAAGCAATTGGATTGGGTCTTATGTATGCAAATGCAACACTCCACGAAAAAGCAGCAAATATTGCTGAATAATGCTTTGCAATACTAGTGATCACGATGAGAGTGATGAGAGTGATGAGGATGGTGTTAATGTTGATTTCACTTTAGAGACTTCAGTTGATACAAGTGATTTATTGTCACAGTTGGCTAATTAAATGCTTTATTTAATTACTAAGAAGTTTTAAAAATCTTTATATTACATCAACAAATCTTTAGATCATCGAAAAATATTAGTCAAATTTAGTTTAAATGAAAATAAAAATGTTTTTGTTTACTTTAGTATTTATTTATTCTTCCACCTGATTATGTTTATTTTGCTGTCTCAAAGGCATCCTAAAAAAGTAGAGAGCAGACAAAGTCCAGATGGCCAACAAATCTATAACAAGGTTAGGGCCCCAGAGTGCAAAAACTGCAAAAAATTGAACAAGGGAGGAGTTTTGTGTCATGTGATAAGTTTCTGCTGTTTCTATTCTTCTAAAATTATTTGAAAACACCAGAACTTATTTTTAAAATGCTTGTTCTAGTAAGTGGTGGATTTTGATCAACGCTTTTTATTTAATTACTTAAGTTATTAGTTTTAAAAATCTTTAAATATATTTTTGTTCTTACTTTAAATCAGTTAAATATCAAATCCAATAAAAACATTCAACCTAATGCTAATTTAAATATTTAGCTAAGGACGGGGTTGGGAAATTAAAAAAAGTTGTCTGGTCCCCTTGCGACTTATAGTTTCGCTAATAAATTTATTAAGTAAAAAAAGTTGTTTAATGCAATGACGTCATTGGTATACTTAACAGTGTACTTAACGGTATACTATACAGTAAACGGTATACTAAAATTTTAGTATACCGTAAACTAGCGATCCCTAATTGTGATTAACATAGTAAATTAGTAGTAAATTAGTATTAAATTAGAAGTAGAAATCATCGTAATATAAAAGTAAACAAATCGCGAGGAAGGCGCTGCGCGAGTGGAGGGGTCATCACAATGATCGAAAGTTGTGGTATGTGACAAACCTTCATTTCGACAGGGCTAAGTCGGAATGTCTAAGCTTGTTTCGAAGAAGTTAAAGTACTAAAACAACTCCATGGCCTACTAGTTATGGTGTTCCCAAATTATATGGTCTTCCCTATAAACCGCAGCAAAAATTAAAAATATTCTAAGCAGCCCTCAACTGCTTAAACCAAAAAATAACTATTGGAATATCATTCCTTAAACAAAAAAATTTAAAAAACGGTAAAAAAAACTATTAATTGCAACTAAATAATAAAAGCAATTGCTGCAACTCAATACAAAATTTTTTTTTTTTTTGATTTTAAATATTTTATCTTTATAAACATATGTAATGAAACGGACAGAGTGAGGTTGATCTATAAAGACACTTTATTACTGATAAGTCAATGATTTGAGGAGGTCGGTTTCCGACTGGCCCTTCGTTAGCAGACTCAGTGATCCTATTTTGTTGCTTTCCATCTCGCAAATCTGTTTTATTATATTCCTGAATGTTGTTGGGCGTTTTCCTGACTATTTTTTGGTAACCTTGCTTGGTGAAGGTATTAGCAAAGAAACCTTGTTGACCGATATGATGGTTATATGTCGTTGCTTGACCTAAATCTTTAACATCCGCCTTAATCAGTACAACTAATACTTATTACACGTTAAAAATTCTTCTTAACTAAACTAATATCAATATAACCTAAAAAATTCCTTAAAAAGCTTTATAACTAAAAAACTATTGATAATGTTAAGATAAAAAATTTGCGCATCACTAACCAGTTTGGCCTGAATATCTCGTACTGCTAATTTTAATTCAAAGAGTTGTTTATCTAAATTCAAAATTAGAAAAGCATGCATTTCTTATATTTGTAATAAGGACTAATGGAACGGACAGAGTAAGGTTGATCAGCGATGACATTTTACGCAGATAGGTTGACGATTTGAGGAGCTATAATATTAAAAAGAACACTGAGGAGAAGGGTTCGAAGACGACAAAATATTCAAGAAAGAATTGAAGTGGAACTTAGATGCATCTTTAGATAGTGAGGGAACATTAGAAAAGGAGCAGAAAGAAGTCGAAGAACCACCAGTAAAAATAAATAAAGAAGATAAAGAAAAAGTGGAAAATACATTAAATTCTTGGCCGATAATTTAGACGTTTTCACGAACAATATAATTGTAAAGTAATGTACATTTTAATGGTATATATTAAAAAAAAAAATTAGTAACATAATTCCAAATCACCACCCTGTTAACCAACACAACTGGGTCCCAGCTGGGATTGACTGGGATTGAGCTGGGATTACTGGGATTGGGTTCGGGCTGGGATTTTTCTGGGTGCCAGATGGATCCCATATGGTGTAAAAAAAATCCCGCAAATAAAATCTGAGTTTGTTGGGCAAATAAAATCTGGCATGGAGTTTCCGTAAATGGATTACGGCTGGTTTGAAGATGGGACGCGTGGTTTAATGGTAGCGTGTATTTTCTTATCAAAGCAGTTTTTTTAGCATCGTTTTTATTAAAAAGTTTTGTTGAAATAAAATTACAAAACACTTTTAAAATGTCATATGCAGTAACGCGGCTTGATTTAGATTAAATATACACTTGCATTTAGAATAAATATACACAGAAACTTCATTTGGTTTTTTTATTGTATTTTTGTAAAAAAATAATTACATATCAGTTTTAATTCTATACTAAAAGAGTAAATCTATACTAAATTAATTCTATAATAAAAGTGTAAAAGCGTAAATATTTAATCATCTATTTAAAAATAATTCACACACAAAAAAAAGAAAATGTGACTTGCTCTTAAATTTCTTAAATGCCCTGCATTTAAAAAATTCGAGAAATAAAATTTTATACTGAAATTCAGATTGAGTTTCTGAGCTATTAATAAGTTTCAGATATGTTAACGTTTACTTTTTTTAGAATTGTTAAATTTTTTATTGAACTGAAGGCATATTCTGTAATTATGCAATGAACAAATGTTGAAAATTTTAAAAAATAGTTTATATGGTTTAGTGGGCTTACAGTAATGGCTTAGTGTGTTTAGTTTTAATTATTTTTTTAAACAAATCACATAGACTTTTTGAAAAACCTTTGAATTTGCTATGTTTTGTAAAATAACTTTGAAATTTTTTTTTTACAAAACAAGTTTTACTATGTAGCACTGCTGTATGTAAACTTTACATATTATTCATTTTCACATAAATCATTTAATAAATGGTTTATTATTATAAATAATATGTAAGTTTTACAAACTTATAAAAAAAAATTAAAGTTATGCATTTAAGATGGATGTAAGATTTATAGATATCTTATAAGTAATATAATTAATATATTTCTAATAGTATAAGTAATATATCATCAAATATATAACTTATAAAAAATGTTAAATCTTACATTTATTTTATGCATTTACAAATGATATCTAAAATTTTTATATCAATCAATATTTATTTCTGAAATATTTGGTATTACATTTTAAGGTTGTTTACAAATAGTAAAAACTACTAATATTACGTAAACACCAATGATAATGATTAAAATAGTAATGTTAATAATAATAAAAATAGTATTTATAATATTTATAATATAAATAATAATAATAATAATAACATGTTATTTTAACAATAGTAATATTATTATAGTAATTAAAATAATTTAAATAAATTGGTATAATTTTCCATACAATAATCATTCTTACATACAAAGTTACATTTACAAACAGTAATAAACTGACAAAGCGTAACAACTTAGGTCAGGTCAGGTTTTCCTGCTACTGGTAACATGTAACCCAGTACAACCTGCTCCATGTCCTGCTGCCTTGTAGGATACGCTTTTTTAGGCAAAGGCTAGGAGAAGTTAACTCCGAATTAAAACACCCCCTGCCTTGGGGCTCTTGGTTGAGTAAAGGCTAGAGATGGTGTCTCGATAAAAATACTCATCTTGGGCAGATGTTACATGCATCCAGCTGCTGTCTTGTAGAAGGCCTCCTAGGCAAAGACTTAAGGGGTAAACAGATTCTATCTGTTGACCAGCCTCGCACCCCTTCCTCATCTATTAGGCTGGCGCAGATGTATTTTTAATACATTGTTTCCAGTTTAGGATGTTGAACGCTGGATCTTCTTGACTCAATGCGTGGGTATTGCTTGTGTCTCTATTTTTATGACTGGGCAACTCATTCTATTATCTCCTAATGAGGGTACAGCTCTAAAACTCAGTTTTATGGTTCTGAGGCCGGCTGGTAGTCAGGTTTCCCGAACTCTGTGGTAGCTCTCAGAGAGGCTGATTCCATCAACAGCCGAAAAATATCAGAGTACTAACAGTGCCATGTTGCGCATGGATGGTGTCCCTGTTTGTACTTTTGGTGTGCATTGCAGAGGCCACATTTGGAGCCCTTTGTTACGGCTTAGGGTTTATTAATAGTAATGAGGCTATTGCTTAGTTGTTAAATAGTGTACTGAGTACTATCTATACTTGAGTCAAGTTCTTTATAAATTTAAAATGACTAAAGTACCTAAAACTAAAAAACACAAAAAACCATTGTCATCACCAAGTTCTCTAAACCTATCATTTACTAATATTCGTGGTCTTCGAAGTAACTTTTCTTCTGTTGAGTCTTATCTCTTGCAAAGTTCACCAGATCTACTTGCTCTTTGTGAGACTAATTTGAGTTCGGCTGTCCCATCTTGTGATCTTAGTGTTGATGGTTATCTTCCTTTAATTCGTAAAGACTCCAATAATCACATGCTTGGCCTGGGCATCTACATTCGTAAGAACTCACCCATTTGTCGTGAAACTAGGTTTGAATCTACAGACTATTCATTTATGTGCTTTCGTTTAGCACAACTTCACTCTATCGCCTTTCTCTTTGTTCTATATCGCTCTCCTTCATCCCAAGACTGCACTATTCTTGATGTTATTTCTGATCAAATTGACCAAGCCCTCTCTCTTTATCCATCGGCCAATATCGTCGTTGTTGGTGACTTTAATGCCCATCACACCGATTGGCTTGGGTCTAGTGTCAGTGACTCTGCTGGCGTTAAGGCCCTCAACTTTTGCCTTTCTCAATCTCTAACTCAAATAGTCAACTTTCCAACTCGTTTTCCAGACAACCCTAATCATTTACCTTCTCTACTCGACTTATGTCTTGTTTTGGATCCTAGTCAGTGCTCAATTTCTCCACATTCACCCTTAGGTACTTCTGATCACGGTTTGATCTCTCTAAAACTATTATCAAATTCTTCTACTTCATCAGAATCCCCCTATCATCGTACCACATACAACTACCTTAAAGCTGACTGGGACTCTTTCCGTGATTTTCTTCGTGATGGCCCTTGGGTAGAAATCTTTCGTCTTCCTGCTGACAAATGTGCTTCTTACATAACTTCGTGGATTCAGGCTGGCATGGAATCTTTTATTCCCTCTCGACGATTCCAGGTCAAGCCTCACTCTTCTCCTTGGTTTTCCTCACATTGCGCTGCAGCAATTTCTAATCGAAACCGTTACTTCCATATCTATCAGCAAAACAATTCTCCAGAAAACAGACATCTGTTCACTATCGCCAGAAACCATTGTAAAAAGGTTTTGTCTGACGCCAAAGCTCGCTATTCCCAGGTCATTAAATCTCGTATCTCATCACAAAAATTAGGCTCTCGAGACTTCTGGAGAATCTTTAACAGTATCAATAATAAGGGCAAATCTGTTATTCCTTCTCTCTTGTATGGTTCAGACTTTGTCACCTCACCTAAAGACAAAGCTGAATTGTTTGCTAAGAACTTTTCATCAATATCATCTCTTGATTCCACTAGTTGCGTTTTACCTGACATAGCCGTCAAACAGGTTGATCCTTTGCTTGACATTCGCATCACTTCAGCTTCTGTATCTAAAGTAATTTCCTGCTTAGACTCTTCAACAGCTTGTGGTCCTGACAACATTCCTGTTGTAGTTTTGCAGAGGTGTTCTCCGGAGCTTTCATCCATACTTTCTAAACTATTTAACAAGTGCTTATCAGAGTCTTGTTTTCCATCATGCTGGAAAGCAGCATCTGTTATCCCTATTTTCAAAAATTCCGGAGAGCGATCTGATTCATCTAACTACCGTCCCATTAGTCTTCTTCCTGTCATAAGCAAGGTTTTTGAATCTTTAATCAACAAACACTTAATCTCTCATCTTGAATCAAATAACTTACTTTCTGATCATCAATATGGATTTCGGTCTTCTCGTTCTACAGCTGATGTGCTAACAGTAATAACCGATAGGTTTTACCGTGCATTAGATAGAGGTGGAGAGGTTAAGGCTATTGCACTTGACATTTCTAAAGCTTTTGATAAAGTTTGGCATGCTGGTCTTCTCCATAAGCTTTCTTCTTATGGTGTAGCTGGTAACGTCTTTAAGATTATTGAGTCCTTTCTTTCCAATCGTAGTATAAAAGTTGTCCTCGATGGACAACACTCTTCTTCACATCCTGTAACTTCAGGGGTTCCTCAAGGTTCAATCCTTGGCCCTATACTCTTTTTAATTTACATTAACGATCTTCCAGATATTCTCACATCTAAGGTGGCATTATTCGCTGACGACACTACCATTTACTCTTGTCATGATAAGAAGCCTACACTCTCTGATTGCTTGGAGGGGGTATCTGAGCTTGAAAAGGATCTCACTTCTGCTACAGCATGGGGCTCACAGTGGCTGGTGAACTTTAATTCAGATAAAACTCAATTTTATTCGGCCAATCGTTATCGTAATAATTTAGATCTTCCTATATTTATGAATGGTAATGTACTAGATGAGTCATCTACCATTCATCTTCTAGGATTAACTCTTACTTCTGATCTTTCTTTTAAACCGTATATCAAATCCATTGCAAAATTAGCATCTGCTAAGGTTGCATCTCTTTATCGAGCTCGACACTTTCTTACTCCAGATTCTATTCTCTATCTCTATAAATCTCAAATCCGTCCCTGTATGGAATACTGTTGCCACATCTGGGGCGGATCTTCTAATGATGCTCTTTCTCTTTTAGACAAGGTGCAAAAACGAATTGTAAACATAGTTGGACCTGCTCTTGCAGCCAATCTCCAACCTTTGTCACATCGTCGTAATGTTGCTTCTCTTTCTCTTTTCTACAAATACTATAATGGGCACTGCTCTAAAGAGCTAGCGTCCCTTGTGCCATCTACTAAAATTCATTCTCGTGTTACTCGCCATTCAATTAAGTCTCATCCTTTTTCTGTGACTGTTCCTAAGTGCTTCAAAAACTCTTATTCTTCTAGTTTTTTTCCTCGAACATCAGTTCTTTGGAATTCGCTTCCTTCATCTTGCTTTCCTGATTCATATAATTTGCAATCTTTTAAGTCATCAGTCAATCGTTATCTTGCTCTACAGATTTAGTCTTTTCTCTTCCAGTAACTTCCAACTCTTATAGTGGTTGCTTGCAGCCTTGTTGGAAGTGAAGATGTTAAAAAAAAAAAAAAAAAAAAAAAAAAAAACTAACGATGACATAAAAACAACCACTGCTAACTATGACATAACACAACTAACGATGACATAAAAACAACAACTTCTAAAAAAATTATAAAGATTTAGTAAATATATTTTTCTTATAATATAATAACCGAAATATATTGCAAATAATATGAAAAAGTAAATAATTAAAATATAAACAGAAAAACTCTGAGAAAATCAAAACAAAACAAAAGCTACAACAAATATTACAAGCAAAACAAATTATTACGTTCAATTCTTTTGACAATAAAAACAAAAAAACAACATCAACAACAAGAAGAAAACAACAAAATTAATTAAATATAATGAATTAATAAAAAGTAATAATTATACACAGTAGTATAAAACATATAAAATAAATAGTTAAAAAGAAAATGAAAACAAAAATTATATAACACAATAAAAAATTAGATACCACTATTTAAAAATAATTAATAACTAAAAAATAAAACAATAAATGACTTACAAAAAATAATAAGTAAATTTTTATAAATGGCAGTGTCACTTAGTAAAACCTTAATAATAGTAATATTATCACTTTACAAAACATAGTAATAGTATGTTTTGTAAAGTGATAATATATATAATTTGAAATATATTAAAAATATTATAACTTAAATTTTAATTTTTAGCATAAGGTTTTATATGAAAAAATATTTAAATAATTTATATTGCGAATTATTTGTAAATAACAGAGACAGCCAATTTAATTACTTGTCTCTTAAATAAAACCGCTAACAATAACCAAAAATAACTTCCGTTGAAAACGATAGAAAAACACACCTTGAGAACTCTTTTCGCGGATTTGAAAACTTACAAAGATAGAACAATGCAATTTCTAAAAACAAAAATTTTACATTTTCTTGTGCGTACATTTTGTTATTATCAGATGTCTACCAACAAGCGAAAAAAAAATAACATTGGCGTTAAGAAATATATTTTCGTGATTATTTAATAAAAAAATCCACATCAACGACAGCAATATCAATAGCATTGAATAATTACATAAATATATACCTTACTACAACACCCAGCAAAACGGTAAGAAAAACATTTCCTTTATCACATTTACGTACTTATTAAACCATACCATCACCACCCCACTATAATGTAGTACTCACCTTACCATCGCACGCCACTATAGTTCACCATTGAAAGCAACATTCTCACACATTATATACATTTAGAATTTATTATAGAGTCCAAACACACAAAAAGACATATTTCTTACACAAGACGTGTTCCTAAATCAAGACGTTTTCGTGAACGAAGATAAATTAGAATTAGAAATACTAGGGCACAGTACCACCCTGGCACCTGAAGACAAAAAAGAAAGAGATAGAATGCAAAACAATAAAGAACTAAGCGACAACCAAATGCTATAAAAGGTAGGATTTTGTACAAACCTTTACGCCGAAAATACCCTAAAAACCTGGAAATTGTATTTTTTTATATGTATGAACTTTGTTTGTGAATTTCATTTATGTGTGTTTGCATACATATATGCATACATCTTTTTTTAGGCTGTGAAAAGGTTTTACCTTTTCACAGCCTACCCTGTTACCCTCTTAGCCTTAGTCCATTATCCGATAATTGCATACATGGATATATATATAGGTCTCTGTTTTATATATGGTAGTATTCATACAGATATATTTGTAAGTGCATATACATGTGTACATACATTTATATTTAGATCCATATTCTTGTACCCAACCCCCCTCTATTTCACTCCGTAACCTTATTTATCTGTTTTATGCATAGTGGTACTCACACAAGTATATTTGTATTTGTGTGTGCTTGTTTGCATATTTGTGTGTGCATATGCATATACGTTTATGTGTACATATGTTTGTGTTAGATGTGTATGTGTATGTAGAATTGTGTTCTTGTATGCGTATATGCCTGTTTCCATACTTCTATGCTCAAACTGATCCTCCAGTATCCAACCCCCCTAAGATTCTAAATCAACATATTATAATGATCTACACTATTCTGTATGACCTTATAATACTTGATACACACAACAGATAAAATGGGAGAATCCTCGGGTATGAGTTCATCACATAATTAAAATTCACGTGGTAACTAAGCTGTAGACCATGGCGTTGTTTTAGTACTTTAACTTCTTTGAAACAAGCGTAGACATTCGGACATGGTCATCACGAGATGAAGGTTTGTCACATACCACAACTTTCGACCATTATGATGACCTCAACCCCAAATTCCACTTGCGCGGCGCCTTCCCCACGATTTGTTCACTTTTATATTACAATGATTTCTACTACTAATTTAATATGTTAATTACTATAGCTTTATAGTTACATATTTTCCATATCGGATATATTATACACGATATATATATATAATATTCTAGATATACATGAGTCTCTATAAATATATACTTGCACTGCATTCCGCAGTTACAAAAATAGCAACACTCTCATTTTTTATTTTATTTTTATATTTATTTTATTTTTAATTTATATTTCGTCATTAAAAAATAATCTTTTACAATGTTTTTACAACATAAAAATATTAAATTAAAGTTTCGACGGGAGCTGGCAGAAGACATGGTCTTATTATCCAGCCCCGTTAACATAACTCAAAAATTCAGCCGATAAAAATGAAAAAGAAACTGAAGCAAGAACTGATTTAACAATCAATTAACTATTTACAGAAAAAAAGAAAAAAATAATATCATACATGTTCTAAGTACCATACAATATAATTAAGATGTTGCGTCAATTTATGACATTAAATTACTAAGAATATCAAAAGTTTTTGATAATAGGATAGTAATTGCTTTGTATCAAAATCAAATAAGTGTTGGTTTGTTGCACGTTTAAAATGAGCTGAATTTAAAGTTTTTATATTACTTTATTTTTTATATTTTTTATATTTTATAAAAGCAAGTTCCATAACACCGGCCCTCGGCAAGATATCAAAAAATCAGCATGTTTAGATAATGTTTTTGGTATAACAAAGTTATTTATTGAGTATTTAGTATTTGTGGTTTAAAGAAAAAAAGTAAGTTTGGAAAATGCTTGGTAGCATACCATTTTTAAACTTAAACATAAAAATAAGTATATTATATATATTTATTTCATAGACATTAGGCACTCTAAATTCTCTTAGTAGTGGTCTGGCACTAGCGTATTTGTTTGCTTTTAATATCAAGCGACTTGTTCGTTTTTATTTTTTGTAGATCATATTTAACTTTGAAGGATAAGTACTTGCCCAGATAATGTTGCAGTAGCTGATGTAGCTATGAATAAAAGCAAAATAAATATTTTTTAAACAATTTATGTTCAGGAGATGTTTTGTTTTATACATAATATAAATAATTTTAGATATTTTAATTTTTTATTACTTTGATATGATTACCCCAGCTAAAATGTTCATTAAGAATTACGACTAAAAACTTGATTGAGTATTCTCGTTTAAGTTTAGTTTTATCAATTAGTAAATCAGGTAGTTTTAAGGGGAGGGTTTCAGATTTTGATAATTTTATAAAAAGAATATAATTACCTTTTTCGACATTTAGAGAGAATTTGTTAGCTTTAAACCATTCGTTCAGGTTTTCAAGTTCTTTATTAATAGTGTTAGATAATAAGCTAATGTTTGTGTGGCTAAAGAATACTTGCGTATCAAAAAAAAAAGGACAAAATTAAATATGTTAGAAGATAAGTAGATATCGTTAATATAAACGTTTTTGATAAAGCTTGTTTCCGATTAAGGTAAGAGCAAAACCATTTTAAAATGTTTTTTCTAATTCCATAATTATACAGTTTATAAAGAAGAATGTCATGGTCAACAGTGTCAAACGCTTTTGAAAGATCGAGAAAAAACCCAAGAGTGTATTTATTGTTGTCAAACCCATTTAAAATTTCGTTGACAAGTTTGGCTACAGCGTGTTCTGTTGAATCGTGTTTTTGAAAACCATATTGGTTATTATTTAGCAGGTGGTGGTTTACTAGATAATTGTTAAGCCTATTGTGCATTATGCGCTCTAATATTTTTGAAATGCATGGCAAAATAGAAATAGGCCTGTAGTTAAAAGCAATATAATCATCTCCGCTTTTAAATATAGGAACAACTTTTGCTAGCTTTAGCTGGTCAGGGAACATACCATTTTTTAAAGACAGATTACAGATATGCAGAAGTGGAAATTCAATAATATCGTAGACATTTTTTACAACGTTCACGCTAATGTTATCAAGCTCTGGACTTTTGTTTTGTTGCAAGGTATTAAATGCATTTTTAAGCTAATCCGGATTTATTTCAAGCTCGGCTTTTTTCCTAGATACGATTTATAACATTGTTTTCCAGGGATTATTTTATTAGATTATTCTTCAATTTTTATAAAATAGTTATTAAATTTTTCTGCAATATCTATTGTCTTATTGGCTACTGTATCATTCTCATCTGTTTTTAAGTATTGCGGGAACACTTTAGTGGCATGTTATTTTCCCTGTTACCTCTTTTATTACGTCCCATGTTTTTTTGGTGTTACCGCTATAGTTTTCTAATAAATTGCAATAATAGTTTTTTTTTTTTAATGTTCTTTTAATTTTTCAAATAATTTTTAATTTTTGTATTGTTTATTTATTTTTTTGTTTTTATAAGTCTTTTTTTTTAATTTTTCATAAAGTTTTTTTTTTTTTGAAGATTTAATAAGTCCTTTTGTCAACCATGGACTTTTAAGGTTTTTGAGTTTAGTTAACTGTTTTAGCTTTAGAAAATGCTTTTTCGTACAAACTTGTAAAAGTAAAAATATTGTAAAGTTTAAAAATATCGTTAGCTGTGTTAGTATCTTTGCAATTAAAAACTTAATCCCAGTTTTCTATTGAAAAGTTGATTAGGAACTTTCTTAATTTTTTTTCATTTATTTGCCTTTTTGTTATAATCATTGTTTTGTTTTCTTTTTTTGTTGTTGAAATTGTTAAGTGGAAGAAATATAGGAAAATGGTCACTTATGTCAGATTTTATTATTCCGCTTTGAATGTTACATTTTATGGTATTATTTGTAAATATGTTATCGATTAGGGTAGCGGTTTAGAGAGTTACTCGAGTTGGCTTATTTATTAAGGGTACTATGCCGTCCTGTAAGAGATTATTTAAAAAACGTTTCGCATTTTTATTTATTATTTGTCGGAACATAAAATTATACATAAAATTCGTTAATTGAAAAAAAAATTATATTGATTTTATGCAAAAAGGAATTTATCAGATTCCCTAAAACAGATCCGATTTAGAAACTAATAGTATGTCGATGCTACTGACCACATGAATTATATTCAGACCATCTAACAAAACTAATAACACGCATATAATTAGTTAATGCCACTTTCAACGAAATAACGGTCAACTGCAGAATTAAAATCTTTAATTGTTTTAACGTTTATCTCACTCTGAGGTAGGTTATTCCACATTTCAGCAACACTATTTGTACAGAAATTTTGTCGCTGTGGAAAGCAGGGCGCAAAAGTACACATTAATCTTTCTCTATGGCCTCGGGTTGTGACCCGATAAACCTTCGATTCTAAGTGAGCAAGCTGATAGTGGTTCATTTTGCCAAGTGATGAGATCAAAACCGATAAACCGATAAATCAAAAACGGATAAACTTAAAATATTGAATAAGATCAGCTCTTGTTCTTTTTAATTTAAGTGTTGTTCAACTCTCTTGAGTCTTACATCGTTTATTCTTTTTAATTTAAGTGTTGTTAAACATCTCTTGAGTCTTACATCGTTTGTTCTTTTTAATTTAAGTGTTGTTAAACATCTCTTGAGTCTTACATCGTTTGTTCTTTTTAATTTAAGTGTTGTTAAACATCTCTTGAGTCTTACATCGTTTGTTCTTTTTAATTTAAGTGTTGTTAAACATCTCTTGAGTCTTACATCGTTTGTTCTTTTTAATTTAAGTGTTGTTAAACATCTCTTGAGTCTTACATCGTTTGTTCTTTTTAATTTAAGTGTTGTTAAACATCTCTTGAGTCTTACATCGTTTGTTCTTTTTAATTTAAGTGTTGTTAAACATCTCTTGAGTCTTACATCGTTTGTTCTTTTTAATTTAAGTGTTGTTAAACATCTCTTGAGTCTTACATCGTTTGTTCTTTTTAATTTAAGTGTTGTTAAACATCTCTTGAGTCTTACATCGTTTGTTCTTTTTAATTTAAGTGTTGTTAAACATCTCTTGAGTCTTACATCGTTTGTTCTTTTTAATTTAAGTGTTGTTAAACATCTCTTGAGTCTTACATCGTTTGTTCTTTTTAATTTAAGTGTTGTTAAACATAGTCTCTTGAGTCTTACATCGTTTGTTCTTTTTAATTTAAGTGTTGTTAAACATAGTCTCTTGAGTCTTACATCGTTTGGTTAGTTTGCTAT